TGGGGTCGATGGCTTATGACCGTTTTGCTGCAATCTGCCACCCCCTGTCCTACCCAGTGATGATGAACAAAAAAGTTTTTGTGAAATTAGTGGTGTTCTTATGGGTCTCAGGCACTATGATGACTACTGTGCAGACCACATGGGTGTTTAGTTTTCCCTACTGTGGTCCCAATGAAATCAACCACATATCTTGTGAAAGCCCAGCAGTGCTGGAGCTTGCCTGTGCAGACCTTTTCTTCTTTGAAATCTACGCCTTCGCAGGCACCATTCTGATTGTCATGGTTCCCTTCCTGTTGATCCTCCTGTCTTACATTCGCATCCTCTTTGCCATCCTGAAGATGTCACCCACTACCGGGAGACAGAAGTCCTTTTCCACATGTGCCTCTCACCTCACATCTGTCACCCTTTTCTGTGGCACAGCCAGTATGACTTATTTATAGCCCAAAGCCAGGTACTCACAAGACACCAAGAACCTGATGTCATTGGCTTACACACTGATGACTGATCCTTCTGCTGAATCAATTTATTTACACTTTGAGAAACAATGAGCTGAAGAGGGCTATGATGAACTTATGACAAAGTAAAAAGGATTTCCACATATCTGACTTGCTGTCAAACCATGTAATATTTGAACATAGTCAAATTTGTATTTAGTAAATGGTGAAAACAGATGGCCTATCTTGTTAACAGTATGTTCAATTCCTGAGTTCAATATGTTTGAAAACCTATCACAGGAATCTCTGTGTTTTAATATTATAATATTACAGCCATTGGTTTGTGACAGATATATAAGTTTCCAGAATATTTGATGTATCAATCTATTCATCCAATAGTCAACTATTGACATCCATGTCATTGGTACAGTATTATCATTAAGATGGTATTTTGATGGGGCTTCTCCATATGAATTAAAGTCAGCGTCACCTGAAATGTCTCCAGAACGACACAAGCCTTTGCCATTGCCCTTGCTTATTTACCTCAGCTATATGGTGAGACCCTATTGCTGAAGACACCACACATTTGGGCTGCAGAACAAATACAAATCAATCTCAAATGGATCAGGAAACATCTTCCCTGCTGGTTAGCTTTCATAGTGCCAGAAGGTGCTGTGCAGGCTGCTGAGGAAGAAAGACATCAGTAGTCTTACCACATGCTGGACCCTGCATGATGGAATACTCACCTGCCATGCAAGATATACTCACTGGTACAATAGTGGCATGACTGTTACAGGGTAGCTCATCATTTTCTGATTGAATTTGAGGTCTGATCCACAGGAGGGAATTCATGTTGCTACTGTAATCCTAGGCAAAAGCCCATGGCTAGGGAGGTCATAGGCTCTAGGGTAGAACGTGTTATTGTTCTTTTGCTAAATGATCATGTTGTCAAAATACTTTCTAAATATTTATGTTTATACTCATAGACCTTGGCTGTTCTCACCTTTGGTCAGAAAAGCTTCTTTCTGCTGTGGGGACTCTCAGTGACAATTCTACATAATAGCAACCTACATAACACCTTTCAGCAGGATAAATACCAGCCAGAAGGAGGAGGCTTCCACTCAGCTGCAGCTTGAGGTCTCTGTATTCTTTAGGAGGAACAGGGCATGCTTTTAGGTCTAGGGTCCATCCAGTATTAATCAACAGCAGTGGAAATAACATGCATTATTTATGGGTCCCCAAGGGTCTCGGTGGCCAAAAGTCTGAGAGCATTAATTCACCCCTGGCACTGGGATTTTCATTTAGTAGCCTATGGCTTCTGGGAGTGCCTTTTGTCACCCAGGCAGGATGCCTTCTGTGTTTAAATTCCTCAGTTGATATTTTCATGTTCCTGGGCACAGGCTCTGATAGGATTTTCTCAATCATCAAGCCAGGTATCACCTATGACTTACCCAACTATAAAATTCCCAAGAATTTCACAGCTGTGCCTGATCCCTGCATCCTGTGTGGAAATATTTTCAATCCTTTTTCTTTAGCTATTATTATGTATGTTTCAGGTGCTTGTCTAAATCTATAAAACATTCAGAAGTTATCATAGTGTAATAAAACATTTTTAAGGGTGACCAAGGTTTTTAAATAACCACTTGTCACAGTGCAGTGACCACAGTCCAAGCCTGAAGGGCTTGGGGACCCCGACGGATAGAAATCAAGACACAGGAGATGCAGAAGTCTATGTGCCAGTGTATGTTTATTGTGAATTAAAGCATGCTTATATAGGAATCAGATCTGGAGTAACCAAGGAATAACTAAGGATACATCATTTATTATGAACTAAAGCAAGATAATATAGGAATCAGATCTGGAGTAACCAAGGAATAACTAAGGATACATCACTAAACAGAAAGTTACCAAGGAGTAATCAAGGATGCATTATGTTACCACCAAGAATACATTACTTCACCAACCGAAACTCACCCAACGTTTACAGCTCCCAACGTATCTCTACAGTAGGATGGGTCCTTTGGGCATGTAGCAAGGAGTGGGACAGCCAGATCATATGGTAGATTCATTTTTAGTTTTCTTAGAGTTGTCCACACTGCTTTCCATAGTTGTAAAAGTTTGCAATCCCACTAACAGAAAATAAACATTCCCCTTCTCCACATCCTCACCAGCACTTGGTATTATTTCTTTTCTTGATCTTAGCCAGTCTAATGGGTAAGATGAAATCACACTTGCTATTTCCATAGCCCTGAGTACCTCTCAGAACTTGAAGGTAAAAACGCTATTGCTGAAGACAGGACATACTTTGGAAATAGGATTTAGAGCAATGGAGGTGGAGCTGACCCCCTGAGGACTAGCTCTCACAGTTCTAGAGGATACTATGCAAGCTACTAAGGGAGAAAAATCAATCAATGGTCCAACCCAAACTTTAAAGTCTAGTAAGCACTACAGTGACCTGCACACCAAACTAAAGTGGTGCAGTAGGGGCACTTTTATCTTGTGGGTAATTAACAGCTATTTAATTGAACTTAAAGCCCTCTCAATGGGAGGGAACTCATGGTGGCACTGTAAACACAGTCAAATACACATAGCAGTAGAGGTCATAGATCCTAGAGAAAGTCTTACCTTTGTCACATCCATAGACAAATGCAATTTCTTACCATATGCTAAATATGGATCCTTATATTTGCAAACAAGTACACCATATACCAATCACCACAGAAGCTTATTTTGCAACAGATGGAAACTATTACAGAGTTTCACAACTGCTCACACACAGAGACTATTTGTCTGAGAGATGCCCAGCCTTAAGTGACACATCTACAATAAACCTCTACACCTAAGGCTCATGGAACACTGCAGAACAGGGTAGGTATAGTGAGAATACTAATGCATTTCTTAGCTCTAACCAGCAAAGCTTCTTCATGCAACAGAGGGCCATGCACACAGAAGTTCACAACCTGGCCAAAATATAGAGAATAAGAGACTGCAGAGTGCATGACTACCATATTAAACCTCACTCACCCATGACTCGGGGACCATTGTGGAAGAGGGGGCAGAAAGATCATAAGAGTCAGGGTTGGTGCATGAGCATAAGGAAATAGAGTCTTCCAGATTTCTGGGAATTTCCTAATATGAAATTACAACAATGGTGTCAGCATGCACAAGATCCATGCAAACTCAGTCAGACAAAAACCCAGAATAGAACTGGAGAAATGGGCAGGAGGGCCCAACCTTAGCTGAGTAACTATTAGCAACTGATTACTGCTGGGTGAAGAAGAGAGTTAATCTTCTTTAAGGGAGTGACTTTACATGGGCTGACTAGACTCCAGTGGATGAACTCATACTGAGGGACATCGGGGTACACAAATTTGACTCCATAAGCCTTAACATATATCACAGAATGCATGAAATATGGTAGGCATTCATGGGGATGGAGATGGGGGAGAGGGTTTAAATATGATTAAGATGTATTGTATGAAATGCACAAAATTCAATAAAAATATGCGTTGAGGAAATAAAAGGATTTTAGGGGCACAAGAAATGGCTCAACAGTTAAGAGCACTGACTCCTCTTGCAGAGGGCCTGGGTTCAGTTCCCAGTACCCACATGGCTGTTAACAGCCTTCTTTAACTCCACTTCCAGAGGAATCTGATGCCCTCCTCTGGCCTCTTAAGCACTGCATGACACAGGTGCACTTATATCCATGCAAGCAAAACACTCATAGATATGAAATAAAATAAACAAATAAATAAAAGGAAATTTGAGGATGCATATTTAGGATAAAGTAAGAAACCACATTGGTTTAGGGGTGTGGTAAAAGTGGGTTTTTCTCTAGGATCTATGTCTAGTCGTGTTTACACTACCACACATGAATTCCCTCCCATTTTGTGGGCTTTAATTACAATTAGACAGTTGTTCATTACCCCTAAGATAAAAGTGCCATTAATGTACCATGAGTGATAGTTTGCTGGGCCAGTCATTGTTGTTTGTTAGGCCTTATAGCTGGATAGGACCATTGACTGATTTTTCTCTCTTGGCAGCTTGTATAGTATCCTATGATACCAGGAGAGCTGGGCTTCAGGGAGGAGACAGAATTCTAGGTCAGTTTCAGCTCAGTTGCTACAAGTCCTGTGTCAAAACTGTGGCCTGTCTTCAGCAATAGTGTCTTCTACTTCTGGGAGGCAATCGAGGGTTGTGGCAAAAGCATGTGCTATTTTGGAAATCTCTTAGATTACCTGATCAACAACTGGAAGGGAGGTTTCTCCTGCCTTCTACTGTATTTCTTCATCCCTCTTCAAAGAAGCTTCCTTTTGCAACAGGTAGAGACTATTACAGAATTCCACAACTGGCCAAATGCAGAGAATAGGTGTCTGTGAGACACTTAACCCTAAGTGACATATCTTCAATGTGACCTCTATACATAGAATGAATGAATGCATCTCTCAACTCTCACTTGGGAAGTTTCCTCATGCAGCAGATGGTTATTAACACAGAAATCCACAATTGGCCAATGTGCAGAAAAGAAGAGGCTGAATGTTTATCCCTGAATAGGATGACTATTTCAAACTTCTGCCTCCCAGGGCTCAGGATTCATAGCAGAAGAGGAGGAAGAAGGATTGTAAGAGCCAGAGAGGTTAAATGATCACAAGGAAAAGCTGTCTTCCAGACAGCTTGTTAGTCGCTCATATGAACTCACAGCAATGGTGACAGCATGCACAAGTCCTATGCAAGCTCAGCCTAGACAAAATGAGGAAGTGGGTAAGAAAGCCCAACCCAACCAAAGGAACTTTTGGCAATTGATGGCTTCTGGGAGAGGGAATGTTAATGTCTTACAGCAATGGGACTCTTGGTGGACCCAGTGGACCGACCCACACTGAGGACATTTGGGGACATAAATCAGACTCTATAAGCTCTGTGCTCATATAAATATATGAAAGTACATTAAATTGGGTGGGGAACAGTGAGAGGAGGTGCTCATAAGGGAGGAAATCTAAATACTATCA